CTACATTTTTCTAGGCTCTTCTCACCTTTATTTCCCTAAAAGTACCTTCTGCTCTATGATATGATGTCTTGGTCATTAGCCCCTCACAATTATTATCACTTGCTTGGCTCCTTTACCCCATGTGCACACAGTTCCACTTCACCTTCAACTTGTCCAAAATCTGCACTCCCTTCAAGGTCTGCAATAGAGGTAGATGAACCATATATAGCTCATAGGCAAAATCTGGCCCACCACCTGTTTTGTAAATAAAAATTTTATTGGAACACAAACAGCTACAATCAGAGTTGAGTGACAGCAACTGAGACCATCTGGTCCACAATGCCTAAAACCTACTATCTGGCCCTTTATAGAAAAAGTATGCAGACCTCTGTCTAGAATGTTATTTCTCCTCCCCAGTCCTCCAGCTTCCCTCCAGGTACTGCTCAGAAGTGATTCTCTCTCCATCTGCATCCCCACAATGCATAGCTGTTCTCCTCCAGAACATCAGGCTACCTGTATGACCCCGAGTCATCTTTCCTAATTCATTGTAAGCACCAGGAAGGACAGGCCATATTTCTTATCTCCTTCTTGATTCTCAGTGTCCATCACCTTGCCTCTCAGCAGTAAGTATCCCATAGCTAATAGCTGAAGTGACAGACTGAACTCTGAAGGACTCCAGTATATTGATGAGAAAAGAAGAGGCAAAGAAAACTCTAAGCTGCAACGATAAAACTGTTCAAGATTTTAGTTCAAATTCAGCACAGCCTTTGATACAAATTAAAATTGATATTTATATGATTACTCCTGGCCACTACACAATATCAAGTCTTCATAAAATGTGTGCACTTTTAACTTCATAGCCTTTAGAAGAAATGTACTAAAGTGTCAGAATCCACTCAATTTTAAACATTGCTTTTGTATTTCAGATCCTGTGGCAAACTAAACATAACCACAAACTAAAGGTGTATGGTACTTCATAGCTCACTAATGCAATTAAACCTTGTAGCATCTGAGAAAAAAAAAACTTCAGTGTGCTTTTAAATGCCGTTTTGCAGATTGTTTTCATCATCCCTACAAGCTACATTATAAAGTTTTAAAATTCTAATATTTATAAACTACACAAAGCCTTATAAAAAGTCTATTGTATGAATTGCTTCCATGTGTGAGAAGATCCAGCCCACTCTTATCTTTATTCCCCAATCACCAATGCCACTGCCAGGTAAGGAATCTGCATGTGTGTGCCCAGTTTTGATTCATCAAGATAAAGACTCTGGCCACTCTGGTCTGAAGAACTCCCGAAAGAAAATTGTTTTAATAACTAAGCTATTTCCCTCATGTTAATAAAATATTTGAAAGCTTGTGCTTAAAATATTGAATCCTGTGACAAATGCCCTTCATGCAAAACCCTATTCAGTCATTCCTACCACACATCCATTAAAGGCAGCAAAGAAACAAGCCTTGCAAAGGAGTGGCCCAGCCTCAGCTTCTTCCCATAAACCTTTCCCACTGTAAAAAAGGTTCTGATCAGTTCCAGAGTGTGGACATACTCTGTTCACATACTACTCATTACCAGGAAAAGAGAAGAGCAAGTGAGAAGACATGCTCAGAGACTTTTATAGCAGTCTGCCATTGCCAGAACATTCAAGTACAGCATTTTGTATTTTACAAATGAGTATTCAGTGGGTTGGAAGTTTTTCATGGTCCTTCACCACAAACAGATGTGGGTGGGGCACTGCAATGGAGAGAAGAATCCAGTGCCTCCTGCATACATGCAAGATGGTGAAGATGGATCCCAATGGTCAGAACTTGGATTTCTTGTTTTCTGACTCTTCTGTTTATAGGAAGCTTATGCAATGAAACAGGGTGTGAATAGGACAAAAGGCCCAAACCCACACTCCACCCCATCCTCCGATTCTACTCCCCCAAGTGTAAATTAAGAGGAAAGTATGACCTCAGTACTGGCTAATAATTTCAGAAAACAAAGGAAACAAACAAAACCAGAAAAAACAAGGAAGACTATAAGAAAGGATCTTTCAGGGGAGCCCAGTCCCATTACATGTGTATTATAGGTACATAGTAGACTAATAGTTGGCCAATTACATGCTCTTCCAATAAAAATATCTGTTCATTTCTAGCACAGACCACAATTTTTATTATGTCCCCTCAGTGATATAAATGATGCCTCAAAGCTGTGACATTTTCAGCCTATTTGCATTCCTTCTCTAGAGTGAAACATGATTTCATGTTTCAAGGTGGATTTTTCTCCAGGACTTTTTATCTAATTCATTACAAACTATTCCAGGATACCTTCATCTTTCAGGGGGAAAATGGATTCAGAAAAATGTATTCATCTACAGACTACATAAGAAATCATTTTGGAAAAGAGGAGCCATTAGTAGGGAAGTACCTAACTGATTAATAAAAGCTGCCTGTCCAAGAAAAATTAAAACCTAGCCAGGAATTTGCATAAGCCCTCAACCCAAACAGGAGAGAAATGGAATGGATTGTTTAAACCAGAAAGTGGAAGTTAGCACCTGTTAATGACTCATTCGTTGGCTCACAAGCTGTTAACACTCAAACAAACTGGTCATTAAATGTGGTCATTACTTATTTCAATGCAAAATTTATTAGAGCCCCCATTTGAAAATTTAATGGAAAGGCAACCCTTGGTCTGCACACCTGGTATACCCCAAGGAGGCTGGGGGAAGGTTTCTAGCTGCTGTGTCTGGATTTTTTAAAAAGTAATAATAATAATAATGGCCATTCTGTCGCATCAATTACCTATTTCCTTCAGCAATCAGAATGTGAGATGAGTTCTGATTCACAGCTTGAGACCTAATAAGGACCACTTGAGTCTTCATTACTTTGTAGGACCATTATGGTTAAGTGGGTCTGATCTGCCTTCTTTACAAGCCTGCTGCAGGACTCATTATTATTAGATAGACTTTTGATTAAGCTTGGAACAGTTTTTCATCTTTCCAGCCTTTTGCACATCATAAAAATAAGAGGACAAAAACCTGAGGATTTGATGTAGCACAAAGTTAGGAAAATGGGAGCGAGTGCTGAAGACTGGAGAGGAGTTGTGGGTGACATTATTAGCTGCAGGCTGTCCCCAATATGACAAAAAGATAGCCACCTAGAACCTTAAAAGTTAGAAATCCTCAAAGAATCTTTTCCACTGCAATCCCTAAACCCACCTGGGGAAATGCAAAATAATGTCTGAGGTGGGAAAAATTAAATCTCAGGAACCTCAGCTACCCACAGTTAACAATGTGTATTTTTTATTGAGGGGAAATAGCCAGAAGAACACCACATGCAACTCACAGGGGATAGAAAGGATGTATGTAAAAATGTTGACCTCTTTTTCTCATATCCCTTCACCATTATGAGACTAGGCTTGCCAGATATAGCAAAATCTAGGACCCCCAATTAAATTTATATTTCAGATGAACAACGAATATTTTAGCATAAGTATATCCTATGTGATATTAGAGATATTCTAAAAAGTATTCATTGTTCATCTGAAATTCAGATTCAACTGGGCATCTTGTATTTTATCTAGCAACCCTTACAGAACACTTAACTACTGGACAAAAAGAAACACTCTACGGTTAGTAGCTCTGCAAATTGATGAATCATATGAATTACCTGGGAGAGAATACTGAAGATTGTGACCAGGAATTTGTTAAAGTTTTGTTGAAGGTTTTGAAGATATTGGTGATAATGATGTTGATGATGACTCAATTATTGGGGTTGGAGGGACAGTAATGTTCCAAAATACGTCTGTGTGACATCTAAAATTAAAAGAGGGCTGAGGCAAGTGCAAGGACCCGAGTTCAATCCCGGGTACAAAAAATAAATTAATTTAATTTAATTAAGAAGAAAGCAGAGAGTTAATTGTGAAAGAAGAGCTGATAATGTTTGGTCGCACAAGACTCAGAAAAGTATTTATCAGCTAGTTCCTAAGCTCCCACTATGAACAAGGATGTACTGGCCTACAAGTCTTGAATAGCTCAAACCCAGTAGCAGGAGGCATTTACAGAGTATTTTCCACCTGTCTGGCACCACACCACTGCTCCCCATCTGTATCTCATTTAGTCCTTGAAACAGCCTGTCTGGATAGGTACTATTGTCCCACTTCTGCAGATGAGGACACTACGGCTATAGAAGCTTAACTTTAACTAAAATGATGACATTGGCCAGTGAGTGCCAAAGGGCACATGCACACCCATATCAGCCTGGCTCCAAGCATTTATTATTGGTATTAAAAGCCCATACCCAGTAAGCACCACATAAGTAGAAAAACTTAATTGCAGGAAGCTGCCAACTGAGTTCAGGTATCATTATAGACATCTAAGTTAGATAGAAATTAATATACAGTCAGAGAGGGACTGGGCTGTCCATGAAGTCAGCAGAAAAAAATAGACATCAGAATTGTTTCTGGAGTAGCTTCTATGTAAGTCCAGGCCTCAAAATAAAAATCTGACAGCCAGGCCAACATGCGTCCCTAAAGGATAAGCAGTAACTTGGAATTATACTATAATTAGCACCACCTGGTCCAGGAAGTCCAGATAGGCATCAGTCACCCAGGTGGGTGACCACAGCATCTGGACCCATCCCTTCCCAAAAGTGCCTTTGTTCTTTCCGTATACTTTTGCTACGTGACCCACTTCCCTATTGGACAAATATTAGCTAAGCAGCTATACTTGCAATCCTATAGGTTGATTGTAGTTTGATCTACGTTGTACCCATTTTGAGACTTTGCTGTATAAATTTCTCCTGACAAAGGGCTTCAGTAGCAACCCACTTCGGGGACACCTCCTGTCTCTCAGGAGCTATTCCTATTTCCCAGTAAACCTTCCCTACTCTTAACCTGCATTGTCCTTTGGAATTCATTCTTCGATTTCAGGGGACACAAACTCGACATATCTAACATCTAGGAGGTTGGAAGTTACACTTTCTCCTATATTATTATCACTCTGACTCCTTCTAGCTATGGAACTCTGTGCAAATTACTTACCCTCCATGTTTCCAAAGTTGTTACTTCTTTACAACAATCATAATTTCCACTCACAGATAACCAGGAAAAATCTTCAACCTGGGATGGAGGAGGAGAAAAAAGAAGGAGGAGAAGGAGCAGGAGAAGGAGAAGGAAGAGAAGGAAAAGGGGAACAAGAGCAAGAATAAGAAAAAAGTTTGCATTACTAAAAAGAAGTCAAAACCAAAGATTAGTAGAAGAAATTGTTCTTCCCAAACTGGGCTGAAGGATTCAGGTTCTAGTTCATGTTTGAACGTGTCCCTTATATAACTGTGAGTAGCAGTGTCCCCAGTTAATCCTCCATTCCAGGAGGCATCCCCAAAGGGAGCACTATCGGTGTCTAGATGTCCAAAGGTGGACCCAGAGCCTCTCCTGTGACTTAGCAGGAACAGTGAACGTTTCTAGAAATTAGACACATAAGCAGTTAGATTTTATGAGGCTGAGCATATCGGATTTAAGGTTTATGGACTCTAGAAAAGCACTTCCTAAGTTAATCTAGCTCTCATGTTTAATATTTCTAGCCAGGCAATCATTTCCCTCATCTGTAAAATGGTACTTCAGAAATGGAAAAGGCTCACGAGGTGCCTCTAAAATTTGATGGGAAGAAACCAACACCTAGACATATCTTTGTGACTTTTTTAAGTTTCAAGGATAAAGAAAAATTTTTCCAAGTATCCAGAAAGAGAAAGCAAGTTACCTACAAAGAGACAAAACTCAGACTGACCTCAGATTTTTCTCTTGCAATTCTGATTGCTAGAAGGCAATGGAGTAATAAACACAGACTTTTAAGGGAAAATAGTTTCGAACCAAGAATTATACACTCTGAAAAGTTATTTTTTCTATATGAAACCAACTAGAAAACATTCTCAGATATCCAGGAGTTAAGTATATCAACCAGGAACCTTCTTGGAAAAATTTGCTGAGCCAATGGAGAACATTAATTAAAAATAGCTAAAGAGTAGAGAGGTAATCATATGAAAGATTTGATGGTAAGCATTAAAACTAGTTAAGAATCATGAAGTCTAAAATTGTTGGATATAGGGTAATAAAACTAAATACAAAACAAGATCTGTAAACTAGATCTAAAATTTTCAGTTTATGTAGTTTTAAATTGTCAAAGAGCATGCCAAATTTTCAGTGTAAAATTCTTTTTGATTTTTGCCAAAAAAAAATCAGTGTCATCCAACAGAAAATGAACACCAGTGAGCATGAGTAAGCCTTATCTACATGTAACAATGAAAAAAATGAAATAAAGTGTTACTTCAGTGGTTTCTCTGATGATTAAATAAAACAATGTATTCTAAAATGCTTTTTGCAATGCTCAACATAGAGCTCAATAAATGCTAGCTGCTATTATTATAAACTCTCTTCTACCAAGTTGTGAGCCCTCGAGAGTGGGAACTCTACTGTTATTTGTATGACCAACATTTGTACAGTACCTTACTAAGAATGAGCACCATGTAGGTGTGTGTGCATATGTGTGTGAATGAATGGAAGGATCAATGGATCCTGGATGGATGGATGGATGGATGATGGATAAATATATGAATGGATGGATGAATAAAGGGATAGGTGAATTCAAGGATGACTGTTCTAAGAATTATGAGAGAATCTTCATGGAGAAAATCAGAATCAAGCTAAGCTCTTAAGAAAAACCATGTGACAGTTTAACGGCTTAATACTTGTATAATGCTTTCGTTCTTCTTTTTCTTATTTCCACTCGTGATTTATAGAACACCAGAATTTGGAAATACTATTTACAAGGTATAGATGATCAGTACAATGCTAGGTACACAGTAAATGCTTAATATGAATACATTCAAAACTATAAATTTTTCTCATTAGGAAAAATTTCAATATAGCTTACAACACATTTAAGTCCATGATATTCTTTCAGATAAAAATCATTTCAAAGCAAGGGCCAGAAGGCAACAGTACAACTGGTATTTTTATTCTGTTTTCATACTGCCTTCATATTATGGATCAATATGACTGCTAATGTGCCTTCATTTAAAATAGAATAATTAGACTAGTAAATTTTGAAAAATATATATTTCCCTGCTCCAGTCTATGCAAGCTCAATGAAGAGAAAGAGGGAAAGAGGGAGATGATGTGATAGAAATGGAAACGAAGGATCTAAATAGGAAAAAAGCTACTTTGTGAACCAAAACCAATAGACAGAGAACACAAAAAAGAGCCTGGCAGAATTAAAATAATCAGAAATTAAGAGGAAAAACAAAGAGTTCAGAAAAAGTGAAGAGGATTTCATTAATAATCATTTCAGAAGGCAGCAGAAGGTGGACAACCTTCCAAGAGAAAGAACAGGAAGGAGTAACTGCCCAACTCCAGCAGTGACCACAGACCTAAGATCTTGACTTTGCCCAAGGAAAGGGCTACTAGGGCACAAACAGAAGGCCCCCAAAGGAGAGAAATTTGAAGGTGAGCTAGCCCACCTGACTCAAGGACAACACCAACATGCTAGGGCCACTTTGTACATCTATTTATGTAGCTCCCTCCACTAAGAGATTTTGAGGGTCTAGGTCCAGCACTCTGAAGAAATCATTTCCTAACCTGTTGTCTGACACCTGCAATTCTGCAATTACACATTTATTTATTTCATCCAATTCTTTGTTCTCTGTTAAAATAAAGATAACCCTATCAAACAGACATGAAATCTTACCAGTCATCTATTGACATTGTGAATAAAGATTGCATAACATTTTCCAGTGGTGCTTTGTTACTAAAATAGGTAAGGATACCCTAAGCTCCAAGCTACCTGGAGAAGGGTCCAATGCAATGGGTTAAGGATGAGTTTAGGACATGAAAGCCTGCCAGAATACTTTGCCATTCTTCTTGGCCACCATCTGATACTGAGGTCTCAATTTATAATAGGCCAACAAATGCCAGCCCCAGTAGGTTTTGCTGCCTGCTCCCATAATTGTGCCAACTTTTCTTACCAAAAAGAAGAAAAAAGTTCCCCAAATATTTCTATGTTGAATATTTGGTGGGTAAAATTCCCTTGAGTTCATCTTCCAAAAATAATTATGTACCAAGAATGAAAACCTATTGATAAATATTTGAACTGGGTAATGAGGTAATAAGCAATGGGTACATTTATTACATATATACTTTTGTATATGCTCTTAGATCTCCAATAGAAGGTGAAACAATACTCACTTATAAAAGAATATGTTTCCACTGAATTCATTCCATTAAAATGAATGGGTAAAAAATAGACAATTCAGTCCCTCAACACAAAATCCATGCTAACTGGAAATACTCAGTTGCTTCTACTTATGAGCTGAGAAAGCCTTCTGCCACTGGACTTGATTTGTTTTCCAAGTCTTAATAGCAGGTGGACACCACCTAGATTTTCATTCTTACTCAAATGGAGGCTTCTTCTTTTTCAAATCTTTCATGAACTCTGCTATTCCCATCCTTCAGATCTTCACTTTTAACCTCTTATTATTTATGCTGTCCAGCATGGTTTCTCAACCCTCACCTGCAGCCTTTACCACCAGCTACTCTCTTCATCTTTCTTTCACTTCAGATTCCCAATTTTTGACTGTCTCTCTCTCCTACTGAAGGATGCTCCTTCATTTTCTAACTCCTCACCAGCTAATTTGTTCATCCTATGTAATTAACCATTTAACCATTTACCCTGAGAATCACTCAGGTAGCGAGTTTGTTTACTTACTGACTATCCCTGGGCAGTTGTCATTTCTACTGGTCAATTGTTGTTTGCACAAGATACACTTGTACATCTGTTTAGAACATTGTATTCACCTTTGATATTTGTTTCTAGTGAAATCTAATGATAAGTTCTGTTTATTTGCTTTTACTAATTTGTGTTTATTTGTGAAAAATAACCTATAATTTTGTGTGACAGTTTTCTATAAAAACTCTTAGCATAAATACATTAGATATAACTTTTATATTTCTCCAGAACTCAGTGATATTCTTTTGCCATACAAAACAGACACATTTGGGACACTGAGACTGAATAGGAAAAAAGTACCAAAAGATCTGCAAAAGAAAAAACTGAAAAAGGGAGAAACATTAACATGCTAGAGATGAAAAGTCTGTTACAAAATGAAAAAAAAAGATGTCAACTTAGTCAACTATTCATAATACAGAAATAATAGAACTTAAAAGAAGAAATAAAACTTTAAAACATCCAATAGTGGTTAATGATTATAGTAATTCTATGGGTGGTGTTGACAGAGCTGACCAACATCTAACAAGCTATCCTATAATCAAAAAGCAAGGAAAAAAATATTATTATATAATATTTATGCACCTTTTAAACCAAAGAATATGGAACTCTTTTTTTATTTATTCAAAACAAGGGGGTCCAAAAAGTCATTTGCAATTTGGGTTAGGTCTAATAGCCCAAATAATTGAAAAATATAGGACAGTGAAACGCCAACCAGGATGTCCACCACCAACGTCTTCACTATTACATTTAGTGGATAGACATTTCACTGAAATTATATCACCCACAGGAAAAAAGGAAAGGCCAACACAATGGTGTAAAGTGTGCTGTTCAAAGAAAGACAATAACACAAAAATAATTCGGAAAGAGACTAGATACTACTGTCCAGATTATAACATTGCATTGTATAGTGACTGTTTTATAATACACCATATACAGAAAAATTATCAAATAAATTTAATTAAGTTGTCATTTTTATATTTCCTGTTATGTGATTTTATAAAAATTAATGAAAAAAACGCAGGTTTTGGTCACCTTGTATTTAAATAATTGGACTGATAAGTGGTTATTTAATACACTCAGCTGGCGCAATCTTGGTCACAGGATAGCTGCTATTAACCCTGTGCAATCTTTGCCTTGCTAGAAGCAAGGGAAAAAGAAGAGCAGCCTGATGTCTCCTGTTAAGAGAAAGAGAAAGTGAGAGCTTTATGCTGATTTCCACAAGACACGGCTCCTAATCAAATGACATTAACCAAGGCTTCTAAAGTAGCACTCACTTCTTCAGCCACAGAAGGCAAACACAGTCATGAAATTCACACTGAGAGACAACCAAAAAAGCCTTTTATTGGGAAACAGTTATTTCTGTATTTCATTTGGAATCTTCTGCAAAAAAAAAAAAGAAGACTGAGTTGAGTTAAATATGAAATTTTAAAAAGAAGACTAGAAACAAATCTCAATCCAAAGCCAGATGGCTGGCAGGCAGTGGGCAGGCGCTAGTCATAAAGGCCCAGTCCAAAAGGCCACGGTCACTTCTCATTCAGCTTAAACTCCTGCACTATTAGCATTAGCATTCATCTTCACTGAGTGGATCAGGAAACAAGAGGAGCTGCAAAGTAAACGAAAGAAACCAATTCTCTCCTGCCGCTCTGTCTCAACAAGCTTTCCGCTCTGAGCAGGCCTCCTCCGTGGTCTCCGGCCTCCACCCGAAGCCAGGCGGGTCCCTAGGGCCTCCGGCGAGGTCTGGCCACCGGTCTAAATCTCACCCAGGGCTGGTAAAGGCCTGCTCAGTGCCACCCCAGCTAAAAAGTCACCCTACAGCCCTCGCCACGCGTGCACACTGGCCCTCCCCACCCCTGCGTGGGCTTCTTTCTAGCCAGTCGTGCGTGGGCTGAGGCCCTGGGCAGGCGTTGCAAAGGGCTGTTTATTTGAGCTCCGACCCTGTGACTGTCCGCAGTTCTCTCCGGTGAGGAGGGCACACCCCCAGCGTCGTCGGTTGAATGGGCTGTCTCGTGGGCTGCTAGGGGGTGAGCTGGGAAGCACCGAGCTGTGGCCATGAATTCACCCGTGGACCCCAGCGCCTGGCAAGTGCTGAGGAAGAAGCCACCTGAGCGGACCCCTGAGGCTGAACACTCTTAAAGAACCAAGTATGTATTTCAAAGTTACGAATGATATTCTCATTCAGACTTTAATATTGAAATGTTAATTCCTCTGTGATAAAAACAGCATGGTACTGGCAAAGAAACAGACCTGAGGATCAGTGGAATAGATTAGAAGATGCAGAAACAACTCCAGACATACTCAGCCACCTCATCTTTGACAAGGAGCCAACCATCCTCACTGGAGGAAAGACAGCCTGTTTAATAAATGGTCTTGGAAAAACTGGATTGCAACCTGCCAAAGATTAAAACTAGACCTGTATCTATCACCATGGACTAAACTAAGATTGAAGTAGATTAAAGATCTATACATTAAAACAGAAATACTAAACTTGCTGGAAGATAAGTTAGGTAGAACTCTTGAAGACATTGGCATAGGAAAAGACTTTATGAACAAAACCTCAGTAGCACAGGAACTAGCACAAAGAATCAACAATTGGGATTTCATCTTGTTAAAAGGCTTCTGCACTGCAAGAGAAACCACCAACAGAGCTAAGAAACAACCTACAATGTGGGAAAAAATTTTCAACAGCAATACCTCAGACAAAGGACTACTATCTAGAATATATAAAGAGCTGAAAACAATCAGACCCCCCAAATTCAAAGACCCAATTCAAAAATGGGCATCTGAAATGAACAGACATTTCTCAGAAGAAGAAGTAAAAACACCAAATAAACATACGAAAAATGTTCAACATAACTGATTATTCAATAGATACAGATGAAAACAACACTGAGATTCCATCTCACCCCAGAAAGAATGGCTGCTATCAAGAAATCAACCAGTTCTGGGGATTTAGCTCAGTGGTTCCGGCGCCTGCCTCACAATTGGCAAGGTCCTGAGATTGATTCCAGTACAGAAAGAAAGAAGGAAAGAAAGGAAGGAAGGAAGGAAGGAAGGGAAAAGAAATCAACCAATAACAAAGGTTGGCGGGGCTCTGGGGAGAAAGGAACCCTTCTCTATTGTTGGTGGGAGTGCAGACTGGTGCAACCACTATGGAAATCAGTGTGGAGATTCCTCAAAGAACTAGGACTGGAGGTCCCATTTGACCCAGCTATTCTCCTGCTGGGTATCTTCCCCAAAGAATTAAAAGAATCATACCACAGCAGAAAAAAAAAAAAAGAAAGAAAGAAAGAAGCCAATTTATATTCTAGCAGGGCTACAGAAGGAAAAAGGAAAAACCCACCTCAACAGCTGGTGAGATAGATTTGCTGGAGATAATCTGTAAGGGAAGATCAAAATCCCAAATGTCTCTTAAAGGGAGGAGAGAAAAATCAATCCTTTTCAATTCTTACTATCCAGGTGAATTCTTTCTTCAAATCTTTCACTCAGCATTGTCTATGAGATTAATCCATGTTGTTGCATGTATACTAGTTCATTTTTAAATTACTGTACACTATTATAACTGTGTGAATACATTATCATGTACTCTCTACTTTTGATATGCATTTGGTTTTTATAAATGAAATTATTTTCTGTGTCAAATGGAACCTGTGCACACCCATTTCTGTGGATTATACAATAAGAAAGGGGTCTCTGGTCATCTGAATATATTCATGCTCCCCTGTAATAGGTAGGCAGTGCTTTTCACAATCTAACAATGTAGCAGACACTTTGAATAATTATCCTGCAGAATTCCTCCTCTGCTACCTTGGACCATACTTTGCTTCATGACTCCTGTTCCTCCAAGATTCTTACCTTGATCTCCTTCCCTCTCTGTCCTCTGCCTTTCAATGACTTTATTCATTTTTACATATTTGATTGATTTGTTTAGCCACATCCTGATTTCCCTGCAAAATATCAGTCCTACTCTATCTTACAGCTCAACATTTACACATGAATGTTCTTTAGGTGACTGAAATTTGTTGAAGCCAACTCTTCTTCCTCTCCTCCCACCCTCACCGTTTCTACCTCAAGCCCTCCTTGTTTTATTGCCCTTCTCCTTGCCAGCAGGCCTGATAGCCTTGGCAGCCAACCCCAAAGAAGAATTGAAATCCAACCCGTAGCAGAGAAGAATGAAGTTTCCCTAGTAAACAGTTTCATCTATTGGTTTTGGTACTTTCAGTATTTGAATTGGCTACCAAACTGAGAAACAGCAAAAAATTATTTTTACATTTTCTATCTCCTAAATCAGAAGAATGTACCATGCAATGGGTCAGGACCTAATCCATTATCTTCAAATTCCACTTTGAATAGGAGCATTTACCCTTTTAAGAAGAGATGTTTGAAAAGGAAAAAAGTAGTTTGTAGGACATTTAAAAACATGCCTTTGATCAAATAGACCCAGAGTCCTTCTTTAGTTGTCCCCTCACTGTGTGACTTCAGGTAACTCGCTTTCCTCTCTGAACCTTGGCTTCTTCATCTATAAAATAACAAACTGTTCTCGGTTTGTTGAAAAAATTAAATGAGATCAAGAGCCTTAGTACAGTACCTGACACATCTACACGCAGTGTGGTTGGTGAAGCTGCTATTGCCAATTCTCTTAACTAGAAAAACTAGATAAATTGCAACTCTTCAGTGTCCCAGAGAGGTTACCACTGGACAAGTAGCAATTTCAAAGTTTTAATTTCTATTACTTTGCTCTCTGAATAGCCCAGAAGGGATGGATAGGCTGTGAAAAAATGTTCTTGGGCTGGTAAATTTGAGGTATTTCATTTCACAAATCTGTCAAGAAACTGCCAGTTCATTTCATTGATCAGTGGCCATCCCAGTGTTGGAGTTTAAGTTATTACCACCCTAAACTAGAGCTGGATGAGATCCTTTGGAGCAAGGAACTGCAAAAGGCACTCAGGCTCCTCCAGAGACTGCTGCACTACAATCAGGGTTTAATCCATTGTACATACAGGTTGCGTTTGCGCTCAGACTCTCTCACACACAAGAATTTTCTCCGCAGGTTTTGGCAGCTGCATCGGATGTAGTTTCTGCAGTGCTTTCTGTGAATGCGTTTGTAGCTATCCTCTCCTACCTTCAAAGCACCTTGACTTTTAGGCAGGGTCCAACCAGAGCCTGTGACAATCAATTAAATACACATCAAGCATCTGCTATGTACATTGCCAAGAATTTCACCATCAGAAAATGTAAAGATGAAAACACCTTTCTGGTCCTGAAGACTTTAAGTAACAATGCAGGGGAGTAGACACTAACGATGTGGCTCAAATATTTCTGTTAAAAAATTAATAGAAAGGAGAACTTTCTTCTACACTCATGGCCCTAAACACAGTGTTAACTACCCTTCCCTGATCCCTCTGACAGAACCAAGGACGGAACTCTGCACAATGTGTGTTCTCATAAATGCTGACAAATAAATGCTAAAACATATATTCTTAACATGTTCTTGAGTTTTCATTATTTCTTTCAGAAAATGTGCTTGCCAGCTGAGATTTAAATGCTGATTCTTCACAAAATACTGTGATTTAGCATTTTTGTCAGGATGGGACATAGTGTAAGGGATGCATACAAGGGCTAAATAAATTATACCCATTACTCTGACTCCATTGAATACATATTGTCCAGCTCACCTTCCTCCTCAGCTTCATCCCGTGGTGGACGGTGTTCCCAGCTATGCTGTGCTGGACCCTGAGCTCAGAAGACACCTGCAAAAGTAAACAAAGTTCAAAATTCTCCTTTCCTCTGTCTCATCTCCCCTTCTTCAGAGTAAAAAGATAAAACACAGTGAAAGGAGTTAAGAAACTAGGCGGAACTACCCACCTCCAGCCTAGAACTACCCATGTGACCTCTGTAAAAGTGATTCTGTACAGAACAGAAATTAACTTCAAAGGACTGTTTTTCCATTGATTGTTTTCCACCAAGACCAGTTACACAAAAACTCAATAGAATCTATGAATTCTATCATCAGGAGAATGGACGGAACAAAATGTCTCCCATTCATTTACATCAAGGTATCCTCACACCAAAATTGTACATTTTTTTCAGCTCCAACAAATTTTATACAGGTGGAAGTAAAGTAATATGAAAAGTAAGTATCTGAGTGACTTGGGGGATGTAATACAAGGGGTGATCAAAATATACGGTGAACATTTTTAAAAAATTTTTTTAAACTATTACAATAAAAAGCATATTGCCTTTAATCCCCTCAAAATACTCCCTCTCATTTTGAACACACCTATTCCATCATTCCTTTCATTTGCTGAAACAGCTCTGCAAATCTTCTTTCATTAATATCTTTAGTTACACCTTCCTAGCTGCCTTGATGTCCTGGATTGATTAAAAACATTTACCTTTCATAGTCATTTTTACTTTGAGGAAGAGACAGAAGTGAAACATTGCAAGATCCAATGAATAAGGTGGATGAGGACATATGGTAATGTTTTTATAGGCCTGCCTTTCCTTTGGCTGGCACTTAGCAGCAGCATTCACTGTGTTTTTGATCAAACATCATAAAGATACTCATGAAAGAAGATTTCCAGAACTGCTTTAGGAAGTGGCAAGAATGATAGGATACATGTGTTAAAGAGAGAGGGAGTATTTTAGAGAGGGGGATTAATGGCCTTGTGTCTTTTACTATAATAAACTTGTTTTGATTTAAACATTCACCATATATTTTGATCACTTCCTATATTGCACACCAAATCATACGGGCATTGTTGATAGAAGCAGAGGTATGAAGGCATACAATAAAATGTCTTCTCCTCATTTGTGCATTTAACCAGCTTTCTGGCCTGCTGTTTCAAGGCCAAACACTGGGTCCAGTGAGACACATAGTCCTGCTTTCTGGAAAAGGAACATGGATGAAGTTCTAGGTGGCCCAGGGAAAGCAAGGCAACTCACTGCAGCATGGCCAGGGTTCTCATGAACCACACAGGAGAGGAAATGGCACTTTCCTCTGATTCTTGCAAAAATGATTTACTCTATGTCCTTCTAACCATTAACAGGCTACATATGTGGTGCAACTGGTCTCCAGAGCCGCCCGCTCCCACAGCATATCCAGTGGTTCCAGTGCCGAGCTGGAACCAGAGGATGACGTGGAAACCAGATCAAAAGGGAACCTGAGGTAGTGGCACTCTCCCCTAACTGTTGACAGATGGTGAAGGGAAGCCACATAAATGCTCTCTCCTGTGTCAGCACTATAAAAACACCCAGGCTGACCCATGAAAGATGGAGATGGAAGCTCAGGCAGCCATTAGGACCCATGCCTCTCTTGGAGCAATAACTCACTCCTGTGGTATTAGGAAAATGGTTTTATTGCAGTGGATTACTTTTTCCCCCCTCTGCAAAAATTACTGCTTATCAGTGTCACAGAAATCAAGCTAAAACTCCCCACCTTTTCTCTCTTCTAATATAATCCCTCCCTCTGGCCAGGAACTTAATAAAATGGAACATTCCATTATTCCGGTTTGCATACCTCTTTTGAAGCTAAAACTGTCATCTCAAGTGAGTGCTCTGAAAAGGCTGATGTTAAGGTAATTTGATTGCCTCTAGTGTTTGCTCAGAAACATTTGAATGCTGGAGGAGCTACTCAGCATCCAGGCCTCTTGCTGGACCAGTTTTGGGAGTTGCAAGGGGAAGGAAATCATTCAAAAGCAGCATTTTCCAATTCCCTCAAAGTACAGTTTGGATATGGCTTTTTCATGAGCTATTAACTGCCTGTCAGATTCCTTAAAGGGGGAAAACAAAACCAGGTGTAGTGGGAATTCATATAGTCACAAATAGCTCAGCCTGGTAAAGCCTCTTTGTTTCCTAAGGTCCATGCGTGATTCTCATGAGTAGATCTGAGCAATAGGAACACCAGCTAGATATTAGTGTGTGCCACAGTGGAGGCTTCCAAAACTTTCCATCCTGTTCAGACATCTGAGCCTGCTGTGGATTAACACACACAATTAGCATCCTCACTGTTAATCTCTTGTGTAGCATGTGAAATCTTCATCAATTTATAGACTCATAGGCCTTGGCCAAAGCTTACTCCATAGACATTGTACTAACAGTGGCAGGCCTGTCGGTTCCTGAAAATAATAGTAACACACCCTAAATTGTGATTAAATTCATCTAATCTCAGTGAGAATAGCAAGTTGAATGGCTATTTAATGTTTCAGAAATAGACCCAAGTCCATGCTGTGACTTTAAAAGCATGTAAATAATATTTAAATTGTTTGTTCCAGAATGGCTGTCTTCAGCCAAAATTTTTTTGAGATGAATGAGTTTTTCATTTTCTCCTATTAACTAGCCCTTAAAAACAAAAGAAAAATGTTCATACCCACAAGAGATACTCTAATAAAAAAAAAACTGAGTACTAGCAATCTGGTTTACACTGCCAGGAATCTAGGGTAATTCCTATTTAGTATTGAAATTCTGCCCTGCCTTTAGCATGTTGTATATGGTTATGAGAAAAAGCCCATATTGCTTGATAGGTCAAAATGCCCACTATTATGAAGATCTCCTAGATAATAGGCCATTTGAGCTCTACTATCTGGGCCAAGTTTTACAGAACAAGGGCAGGGACATTCTGTTTAACCTGTTAGTGACTGTTCAGAAATCAGGATTGTGAGAGATGCCTTTGTTGTTTGTCTATTTGTTTTCTTGCTTTTAAATCTATACTCAGATGATTAAAAAATTATAAGGCTACAGAAGGAAGGATTAAGGATGAACATATCTAGTTGTAGAGTGTGAGCAAAGAGAAATATGGATGTAGAAATAGGAGACCAAAAAAAAGATAGAAAAGGGAGAAGAACAAAATAGGGGAAAAAAAGGAGATCAAAGAAAGAAAACTTAAGAGATATACTAGAACATAAGAGGTTAGATACACCCCAAAAATATGCTACCATGTGCTCAAGAATTGCATATCCAGTATTCTCCATTCCTAAACTCTAGCAGAGTGCTGAAGACACCACAGGGCCTTAACTGGTAAACTACAGAAATCCAACTAATAATCTTCATCCCATGCTTGATTCACAGTACCATAAACCAGACTAGTTGAAGCTAAGAAAATTTGGATTGAATCATGAATTTCACAGCTGATTCTGATCAAACAATCCCACAGAATTGTAGTGATAAATGAAACCCATTAACCAATAACACAGAGCTAACATTTCTCTGGAATCCTTTGCAGCTACAAAGACCTCTGTGGCACCAAAGGGAATAAAAAAGAAGAAAGAACTCCTTGCATGGTCTTCCTACGATTAAAGATTGGAAATACACAAAACTGAGCACAAACAGGTAATAAAGTCATTGCAGAGTTCTAACCAGTGATAGAAGTCAGGACTGGCCTTCTCCACTGATAGTTCAGTATAACTTAGAATGAGGACGGTGTCAGGCTGCCCTATAGAATCTGATTAAAATCCCTTGGACCAGCATTGCATGTACTGTAAAATTCCATTGAGATACCAAGAGGTTAATAAGGTCATGGTCACCTCTGGTTAAATGCTCTTTTTCAGTCTACATCAGCTCAGATGTGGGACTCAGCTCGCTTCCCTTGATAGACACTCAGCACACAGCCACACTCAGTAGTGAAGTCTATGTAAAGCACATTTTACTAACGATTTCATGAAGATGGATGGTGCTAAAATAAATAAGCTTAGATAACCAAGTAATAAATACTTTACACATTGTCAGTTCCATCCTACTCTTTCCACTTGCTTTTCTTCTTTTCCTACTTCCCCTTTCATTTACTCCTAAAAAGCAGTAACAAATTCCCCCATTTCCTAAATGATCTCATTTGTAATGCCTTCTTCCAGAAACTTCCCTGAGATCTATTTTTCACCCTTACATGATCCACTCCACTACTTCATAAAACAAAGCCAGCCCATTCTTAAGGAAATAAATATTGGTGCCAACTATTGATAATTTTTGTTATAACTCATGGTATCATATAAAGAACAATGACCAAAAATATCTCCCTCATTCATGACCAAATGTACATTAAGCATTGACCTTTATAACAAGTTGTCTTTAACAGTCACATATTAAGTCACTTATATGTGAAGATATTTATGTTTATGATTATATCTGTAACTGTATAGCTATGTCTGTAATTACATCTTTATAATTATCTTGGCTGCCAGCAAAATCCAAGCCACCAGGAAAACAGTGTCCTTAAAGGTTTAAGGAAGATAAAAGGGGGCTTGGGATTTAGCTCAGTGGTTCTGCCACCTGTGGCGCAAGCACAAGGTTCTGAGTTCAATCCCTGGTAGCAAAAAAAAAAAAAAAAAAGACAAAAGGAAGGATGAGAAGGAGAAGGAGGAGGGAAAATAGGAGGAAGTGGAGGAATAGAAGAACCACCACTGCCACCAAAAAGATAGTAAAAGATACCAAAGATCAATTTGCCCTTCCACAGTCACAAAAGCCAATCCTACATTAGTTCTCAATGAATCAAGCAGGAAATCCCTTTGCCGAGGCTTTAGCAACTAACCCTGTCGCCTCCTTCTCTTCAAGCCAGGCAGATCTGGCAGCCCTAAGGACAGGAAAACCTGTGCAGGCCTCCTCTTAGGCCAGCCAGCCACACAGTATTTCTTCTGCTGTCTGGAGACCTGGGCAGGCAGACAACCAACTGCTCCAGGAGCGGGAAACAATTAGGGTGTGGGCACCCCTCCCTCTTGGCCTGCGGCTGCCCAGCCAACGTGATTAGCATAATTACAATATGTTCATCCAGCACCAGATGAAAACTTGTGCTAGGAGGGAGTGTTAACGTGAACAAGACAGTCACACAACAGTCAGCTTTATAATTAGCTGAACAGTTCCTCCTTTAGAGATTTCCTGGGATACTCCCAGGGAACCCCAGGCTCCAGGCAGCACTTGAAGACTGAAGGAAGCAGCAGAGTGGTAGCAGGAATACTGAGTGTTCACTGAGGACATGCAAGGATCTGAGTGTCCCTCCTTGTGGAAGTAGCATTTGCCATCATGAAAAGAAAATGACATCTCCAGACCTTTCACAGTAGACATCGAGGAAACACATCTTCACCCCTTGACTATCACTTCCTAACTGGTCTTAAGAGAGTTTTGACTTTTCTGGGCCTCCACAGTTTGTGCAAGGTATTGGAAGAAATAACCAGATAACTAAGAAAACTCTAAATACCAAGAATGCTAAATAAATACCAAGTGGCAATGATGGCCTAGAAAGTAATTTTCTGGATTTGAATATCAAAGTCCCCAAATCTCTAAAAGGTAGGCACCTGCCTTCTCTGACCTAGACTTAGCAATTTTTATCATCTCTATCCCATAACACTCATCCACACCTCACTCATGATGGTTATCCCATTGGCGCAGAAACAATAAGCTTATTCAGGTTCTCTATAACATGTTTTGCAACTTTTTTCCTGTTACAAGACATAGAAAACGATATTCGTGATAGCCTCCAGGGTAAATGATTATTTATGGCATCCTGCTGCCCCCCAAAGGCTAATTGGGATCAATAACTGCACTGCACATTCATGATGCACTAACATGTCTTTCACTCTGCTCTACCACCAGTTTGTTCCAGTGCTTGCATGGTTGGCTGCTTGTTTTGTTTTTAATAGATGCAGCTTCTTGTGATTCTGGAGCCTATGGTGGTCCAAGGTGATTGCTCTCAGCCTTGGCTATATATTAGAATCGCCAGAAAAACATTTAATAAACACCAACATCTGGGCATCACCCCAAGAAACTCTGATTTAATTGGTCTGAGGTGGGGCCTTGGTATTAGGTAAGTCTGAAAAGCATCCAAAATTGAGAATCTTACCTCTAGAGAAGCAGTCCTTAAGCTTTAAAATTCAGTCAAACCATGTGAGGATCTTGTTGAAATGCAAGCTCCAATTCAAACTGAGCTGGACCTGGAATCTTGCACTTCTAGTATCACCCAGGAGATGCTCCCAAACACACTTTGACCAGCACAGGTCTAACAAAGGAGGACCCACATTTGAGCACATGTCCTAAGTCCTAATCACTGGGGAGGACTTGTTAGAACTGACAGCCACTGCCCCACCCCTGCCCAGGTTTCTGATTCAGAGAATCTTGCAAGGGCCCATAAGTTGCATTTCTCAACTCTTTCCAGGTGATGCTACTGCGGGTCCAGGGACCAAGTATTTTTAAGCCACCAGTCTAAAGTACTAGGAAGATCCTAGCCTTCAAGAATAAACGGGCACTTCATCTAGCAGACTAGGGAAATTCTCATGATTCAAACACTGAAATTCCCCAGAAAGTAGCTTCTCAAGGGAAGGCACAGACAACTCTGCACACTCTGCTCCCAGTCACACTCTGGCTTCTCACTTGATTTCTTTCACTGGCTCGCAGCAAAATCAAGTGTCCTATTCCTGTTCAACACACCTTCTGAGAAGAGAGAATCCTGTGAGTCACTACACTGTCAATCAGAAACCCATGGATTCCATATCCTTTCATATTCCCAAGAGTTTCATGCTCAGTGATTCCCAGGTTTGCCAGGCTTCATCTCATGGGCTGTTGCTGGTAATTGACCATAATGACTACACCCTAACCAGTTTTCATCATTTGATCTGGACAGCTCCCAGATAACAAGCTCCAACTGGGAGGGCTTGATTGCTATCAAGCAAGAGTGAAGGAGGCCTGCAGCAGAGCTGGCAGCAGTTGTGTGTGTGATCCATGTGAGAGATTTCCAGCTCCTGGATGTCCCAGAAGAAAAGCCTGTTACCACCACGACTGGAAAGCCAGGATGGATCCAGGAGCACAAGAGCCTCATCACAAGATAAACACTCACTGGGACATCCAGCCCAGCCCCAGGGCAAGCTCACTGAGATCAGAGCTGCTCCGAATTCATTGGTAGTCTGGACATGCATCGTGGCACCCCCTGACAGCAGGAATTCAGCTGTGTGGATAACTACAGAGTAATTAACCAGGGTCAAAGCAAGGTTTCGTTTCAGAAAAGCCTCCCAGAGAACCCATATCATGTTCCAGACCCTCAGGTGCTGGAGACAGTTGCCTCATTCCACTTGGTCATGGCAGCTGGATCATCATCTGAACAGTGACCATTCAGCTGTGGCCACCAGGCTCTGATTTAGACTTCACATTCCCTTCAACCTGACCCTTGAGTCTATAATTACAAAGCAAAACATCTCCAACAACAAATAAAAAAAGGACGAGAGCTGTATATTGGGTAAACCTAGGTTTGTAGCCAGAAGACATATATTCCAATACTGGCTTCAGTACTTAACTAGTTTTTAATCCATAGGCAAATAACTTAATCATGCTGGACCTCAGTTTTCTCATCTGTGCAAAGGCAGCAAAAACACCCACTGGTGATGTATGAATTTAAAGAAAAAATTTGTAAAAAACAAAGCCGGGGATTTAGCTCAGTGGTTCCACCGCCTGCCTCGCAAGTGCAAGGACCCGAGTTTCGATCCCCAGTACCAAAAAAAAAATTGTATAAAACACAGCAGATATCTTATATTATTGTTATTGTACTCTGATTATAACTTTCAGCTATTTCAATTAATAGTTACTATTCCTGGTTCCAACCTCTCTTGCTTACTTCTAACAGGGTTCTTTAATGTTCCTGAATATAGTATAGATGGATCCTAGGTGTACAGAAAATGGATAGGAATCCAGAGCACATCTAGGAGATGTAGTGTAACCTCCCAAGCAAGTTACTTTCCAATGACCCTCACTCCACAGGATAACCAGAGAAGCCCAACCAAACATTTTCTGTGTGTTTCTCATATTATAGAAATGTCTCTGTCTTAGAAAGATGAGATTAGTGTTACCAGAATTAACAAATAATGATATGAATAATTTTTCTTCACTGATTATCTGAAATCCAAGTTTAATTTAGTGTCTTTTATTTTATCCAGCAACCTGAGAAATGCTCTTCTTGAATTTGGCAAACATTTTCATTGTTTCAAAAACAATTCCATCTTTATTCTCCAGTCTTAAAATTAAGTAGCAAGGACTGACCATCAGTCAAAGTTGCCCCCTTATTCAAAGTGGAACAACTCAAGCCCTTATAGTTAGAGAAGTCAGCTTTCTTAGCAATTCATTGCTTTGCCCTTGAGGTCTAGTTATTGAAAAGGATATTTTCATACATGAAATGATATTTATAAATCTTTACCCTATTCTAACATCACAGCCAAAATAAGTGCCCAAGTTACTAAAGCAAGAGGCTGGAAAAGCAGAAAGCAACAAGAAGGAGGAAGCCAATCACACAGCCCTTCTTCCTGTTCACTGCTGCTGCCAAAAGAACCTTTATGGCTGGCAGCAAGGCTGCTAAGCCAGGG